TCCTGCCTTAGGATCTTTGCACCTCTTCTGCTTTTCTGATAGGAACATTCTTCCCTCTACATAGCTTCCTCATCTCCTACAAGTCTTAGCTCAAGTCATCCTCTCAATAAGACCTTTTCCGATTGTTCTATTTTATATTGCAGCTCTCCCTATTCCCCTTCCCACTTTATTTTCTCTGTAGAGCTTAATACTTTAAAACATATAATTAACATCCTTATTTTGTTCATTATTACAATTCATAAGGTAAAGAATCTTTGTATAATCACTGCTATAGCCCTAGTACCTGGCACAAAATTGGCACTCAATAAATATTTGATAATTGAGAGAATTCTGTGACTGGGAAGCAGTGGTCTGAGCTTCATACACTTCACTTCATCCCAGTCCTAGCTAAATGACTAGTTGGTACACTTGTTCATTGTGGAAAGGACAGTCCATGGCTCCCCAGTGCTAAAGGTTCAAGTTTAAATTCTTCAATCTGATGCTCCAGGATGTTGATAAACTGGTCTCCACTATTTTCTCTAGCATCAGAAGGGTCACTCAGCCTGTGTGATACCCTCAGCTCTTGACATGCATGCCTCAGGTCAAGCCTCCCTTCCCTGACATCCTAGCCCCAAGTTAATCACTTCTCCTTCAGATTGGACAGCATCTAGTCCAGCATGGCCCCAGCACTGTTATCTATATCTCTGTCATCCTCTCCCAGGACAGCGCCTCCTGAAAGTGGGGCTCTTGTTAACCAGCTTTGTATTCCCTCATGGTACCCAGTTCAGGGCTGGGACCACTGGTTACTCAGGGATCATGGCTTGAATCATATGACATTTGGATCCCTATCCCATTTCTCTTTTGATGATCTGGGGGTGTCTGGCTCCTTCAGATTCAGAGTCCCAGCCCCATTTTCCCATACTCACTCTAAGGCATTTAGTGTCATTTCCCTATGGGAGATCAATATCTGGTCCCTACACTCACTTGATCCCAAGGAGATCTTCCATGGCTCCTCATTGCCAAAGTTTCAAATCTGAATTCTTCCACCTGATATTCAGGTTCTGATTACCTTTCCAGCCTCCACTCCCTTCTCCCACCTAGCCTTTCAACAATTTCACACAGAACACCAGTTCCCAGGCCCATCCCCCAGGGTTTGTTAAGTGTGTGTGTGTGTGGGGGGGGGAGGGTTAGGGTGGGGAGGCTGGCTCCCTAGGGTTTACACACCTTCTCCCTTTTGTCATTAATGGCCCTAAGCTTGGCTCTGCAGCTGTGTGTGTGTGTGTGTGTGTGTGTGTCTGCAAGGGTTCCAAGTTAAAAAGTGGGAGAGGGAGAGAGAATGAGAATAGGAAAACACTTCTAGCCTTTCCTGGTGAGGGCCAATCAGACTTTTCGAGGCAGATGGGGGGTTCTCTCAGGCGCCCACATGCTACTTCCCATCACTCCCTGGCCTCTCCAGGGCTCCCCTGATGGGAGTTGTTTGGAAAAACAAGTCCACGACCTTCACAGATTAACTCTTACCTTCCAGACAAGGTTCTGTGTAGAGCTACACTGGGAACAGGACATCTGGGTACCCTGACCAAATTGCCCTGCCTCAGGGATCGTGCTCCTGTCCTGACAACCAGGCCCCAGGCTGGCATTTGTCTTGCTCTGGCCTGGCTCCTCAGTGTGTAAGAGTGGGGGGAGAGGGAGGGGGTGCAATGGGGGATGTGCATTACAGGCAGAGCTTCTGTGACTAGAATTCTCCAGGTAATCTCTACCCTACCAAATTTGCATCATTCCCCTGTCTCTGTAGGAAGGGAGATTCTGTCCCGCTCCCTGGAAGCCCCCAGTCTGAGGGAAGTCATGGGACCCCTCAGACAGAAACTGAACTCATAATGGAAGCAGGCTTACAACACTGGATTCTGGAGCTATCCTCAGTCTGGAGGGGAATGGTGGGATTGGGGAAGTCTCTCCCCTTTGGAATCTTCCATTACAGAGACTTTTTCCTCTGCCAACTCCAAGCCCCGTAAGAGCCATTTAGTCAGCAGGCTCCTACCACCATGTCTCCATTCACACAGGACATTTCTAGCATGGGGATAAGCTCTGGAGCACTGGCAAAAAACAGCCCTCCCAACACCAGTCCCCTAGTGGATAAGGCTTGGGGAAAGGGGACATGGGGCAAGAGCTCAGAACCCAGTTTAACTTTACCCTTCAATTCTCCAAACCTCAGTTTCCTGATCTGAACAAGGGGCCCATTTACTTAGTAGTTCCTGCTTCTCTGATACCAATCCCTTCCCTATTCAGTGACCCCAGAGATGACCTCTAAGAATTTCCCAGTCCCACTCCAGTTCTCGTTCAGACTTTACTGGGATCATAGTCTCACAAGTGGGAATGGAGGACATCTACTGATACCCCTGTTTTGAGGCCCTTCTTTAAGGGAGTTGAGAGAAAAACACTTTTCTGTGGGGGACTAACTGCTCTTCCTGACAGGAAGTCCTTCTGAGAGCCAATCCCAGTCTTTATGTTGCAGTGCAGGATATATACCTCAATATTGGCTGGAAGCTCAGTTGTTTGGTCTCTCAGCTGGCTAGAAAGGAGCTGGGGGTCAGGGAGATGGTGCTGGGGACTCACCCTCTAGTGTGTCCAGGTGGAATCCCCAGGAGAGGAGGATCACAAGCAGGCATGCTATCCAGGTCCCCAGATAGGGTACTGCCATTGTCCCAACTTGGATTTGTGCCCAGTCCTGGCGTTTCTCCAGATGGTCCTGTGAGAAGGGTCTGACAGGCTCTAAGGGTTACTTCTCAACTGAGAAGAGGAGGAGTACAGGGGCAGAGAGGTAAGAAATCCCACACAGAGACAGAAGAAAATAAACTCAAATCGCAAAGACAATGACTAGCTTCCCAGGACAGACAAATTCAGCATGAATCCAGACAGGAGATTGGGACAGAGATGCAGACAGTGACATGAAGAGACTTAGAGGAGACTCAAGAGGGAGAAAATAGCACAGAATTCAGAGTAAAACCTGGTCAGGACACCAGCCAGCCTTGAGGGCACAGGGCAGAGGAAATCCCTGAGAAGAAAGGACCCAAGGGAAGTCTGAACATGTGTTCCGCCCCCACCCCCCACCCCGCCCTGTGGAGCCGACAGGGAAGGTGTTCTCCCTGAAACCTCTCAGGGTGCTCTGGGCTCCGGAAGGCCACACTCGTTGCGCTCTCTTAGGACTGGCATTCAGCGGCCGGCCCAGCTCCAGCTTTCCCCGCCCTTAGTCCTGATTTGAAACTGGGTTTCTTTGGGGGGCCCCTCCCACCTGGCCAAACCAAAATATTTAGCCTGACAACTGTACAGGGAAGGGAATTGGTCTGTTGGGGAAATAAGGCCAAAGTACGGGGGAGGGGGACTAGGCCAAGAACTGAGCCCCCCCCCCCCCCCCGTCTTCCCACGGCAGCTGCGGTGGTCCCCACCCCAGGCTTCTCTCCAGGGGCGCTGCGCGACAGGAGCAGGGAACGGGTCAAATCCCCTGGAAAGCGACTATTGTGGGTTCTGCTACCTGTTCCTTGACACCTGCAGGATAACTTTCGCCAGCAGCTACCCTAGCAGAGTGGCAGCTTAGTGAAATGGCTGAAACATCAAACGTGCCTTCTGAATATTCAAGTCCGAGGGCTCTTGGAGCCCCCTCTCACTCTTCCAGGAAGCCGCCCCGTCTGCTTTGGAGTCCCCTTCGCGCGAGGCTCCGTCCAGGCCCCAGTCCTAGTTCCGGCCAAGATCTGCTAAGGAGGGCGATCACTAAGATGACCGCCTCTGCCTGGTCATCTTTCTGAACTCACGCGCTCCGTCGATCGGCTTCTGTCTCAGAGACTAGGGGATTTGGCCGCGCTGGGGACCCAGTAAAGGAGAACCGCGTGCCTCTCTGAGGACTTCCTCCACCAGCTCACCGGAGCCCTTAGCTAGCCTCTGCTTCCAAGAGCCCCTCCTGCAAAGTCTTTTCTCTCCCCTCCAGCCCCACCCTAGACGGGGCGGGCGTTTTCAGCCACGATGGCCCACGGGGAGGGAAGGGTCGGCGTCTGTTCTACTGTGCCCTGGATGCTGGGAATCCTGGGGCTTTCCCGTGGGCCGTCTTCTAAGGTCCAGTGGTTCCCAGCTCCACCCGCGGGCGGCTCCCGTGTCCGAGGAGCTAAGAGAAGATCTATTAATTTCTCCGCACAGAAATCGATACTCTTGTCAGGGAGGCGATCGATGCCATCCTTGCCCTGCCCGACCCGGGGGCCAGCGCTTGCTAGTGGGGGTCAAGAGCTGACCCTGGAACCGAGTCGCAGTGCTTTGGGGGTTGTAGACCGCGACCCAGGTCCCCACCCTCCTAGAGCTCACACCTTTCCGCGCCTGTTTCTGGCGCCACCCTGTGGCGTCTTCTGGAAGGTCGGGGTATCTGCTCAAGGTTTCCCTTCTCCGGCCTTCCCCCCACCCTCCCGATTCCTTTCCTTTCTCTACATCCCCTGTTTTCTTCCCCCAGGCCCTACGTTTAGTCTTTTCGCCGCCGCTCCCCAAATCCCGTCTCTTTTATCCCTAAGGCTCAGAGAGTGTAGCACCTAATTAAGCCCCGAGTGACAGGTATACTCCCTAACGGCACACGCTCCATAAGGGAGCTCTATGGCCGAGAGGGCTGGCTAGGATGACCAGGACTGCAACCTTTCCTCACTTCAGTCTCTCCTTCTTCCTCCCCAAATCTAAAAATGTAGTTGCTTTAGGTTCAGAGAAATAAACGTGTCAGCTTCCCATTTCCCCTACCTTCAGGGAGCTGGGGCTGCGGAATCCAGAGACAGAAGCCGACACTTGGGGCCTCGGAAAGGGGAGGGGGCAGAGTTTGGGACTTCGGAAAGGAGGGGGCGGGGCAGGACCCGGAGGGGGCGGGCTGAGCCGTTGACCCCGCCTTTTCGCGCCGGCAGGGTCTTTAACACCGCCCAGCGCACATGTCGGGAGAGGCCCGGCGGCCGCAGCTGGGAGCGCACAGACGGCGGCCGGGCCCGGGCGAGGCTGGCAGCGCCGCTATGCTGCGAAGCGGACAGTGCGGGCAGCTTGGCGGGTACGGCCGGGCCAGGGGGCCGAGTAACCTGCTGGCCTGGCTGATGCTGGCATCCGCTGGCGCCGCATCCTGCCCAGAAGCCTGCTGCCCCAATGGCCCCTCGGGGCTGCGCTGCACCAGGGCTGGAGCCTTCAGTAGTCTCCGCTACCTGCCGGGCGCTGAGAACCTGACGGAGCTGTGAGTGTCCGGAGGGCGAGGGGGTGCGGGGACACTAGGATGTACCCAGGCCCCGAGGGCGCGGACACACTATCTACTAGCTAGGTTAGGTGGAGCGGGCGCGGTCGAAGGGTGGCACAGCAAAGCCTTCGGCAGAGCTCCAGCGCTCCTGCGTTCCTCCGCTGCCACCACTGCCCCTGCTGGCTTCGCGGGCACTGCCCAGCTCAGGGCAGCTGGGACACCGGCTCCAGCGACTCTCCGCGGGCCAGGTGTGAGGAGCCCAGCCATCTGGAAGCAGCCTTTTGAAGCTCAGCCGGGAACACAAGCTGTGCTCCATGAAAGAGGGTGATCGAGCAGCGGAAGACCAAGTTAGGCATCCTTACCGCCCTTTCCCTTTTCTACTGCTTTCCTTGTCATGACCCTGGAATTGGGAATTGAGCTGGAATTGGTGACAAGTGGTGAGGAGAAAGACGTTGAGCTCTCCTCTCCCCTTTCTCAGGCCACTCCATCTTCCCAGGACCCCTATCAGGAGCTCTGGATATAGATTTGGGAAATGGGGTTACCTTCCTGGGCCTGCCCACCCATTCCTATCTCCCTTTCTATCCTTGTCTCCACTTGGGGCTGGGAGTCAGAACCATTGCTGAGAGACCCTTTTCCCTTCAGGGATTCAAAACTGGGAGGGCTCTCCAGCATTCTGCAGTATTCTAGTATCCTACAGTAATTGGTTACAAAAATACTCAGGTACTCCTTAGCAGCTGGTGAAACCTATGGGAGTATTCCATAATAATTGGCCTTGAGGTACTCAAGCATTACATAGTGATGGTTGGGAAATACTTGAGTATTTTATGTGGCTGGCCCGGAAGACTTCCAAAAGAGGAGAGGGACTGCTGGAGAATCCTCCGGGGGCCTTGGGCTTCGAGGGTGGGCAAGGAAGCCTGATCTCATGTAGTGATGTGCTGGAAGGCACCCGAGGCAGGGGCCATTGCTGTCTGGAAGTTACTTGAGCAGCCTGCCATAATTGGCTCTGCGTTACTCGGGTATCTTGCGGTAATTAACGGGAAGGTACTCAATATCTCTCTCTAATGGCCCTAGGGAGACTAGGAAAAGAGGAGATGGCCTCATCTGAGTCTGGGCCTAGGTCCCTGCCTGGTGGGAGGAGGCCTGAGATCCAAGCTGCCACCCCTATCCAGTTCACTTATCACCCTGGGCCTTCAAACTGAATCCAGGCACCTCAGTGCTCCCCACTAGTGCTCCCACCTCCAAGCCTGAGTTCTCCCCATCTGTGCTCCCACCTCCCATTTCTCTTTCAAGTCCCAGGTGGGTTCTACTCTGTGGGGGGTGGGTGGGAGGGTAGACAAGACAGGAGGCATGCAAGGTGGTGAGCTGAGATGTCCATCCCCTTGGGTGGGGCAGCAGTCTGACCCACTGCCTCTGCCCGTTGGATCCTCTCCCTCCTCCCTCACTCTCCCTCACCCGCAGAGCTAACGAGGAGATAATGGACTCAAATAGACAGATTGATTATGAATCCAAACGAATGAGGCAGCTTGGAGCACACTGCCTGACAGCTCACACACACCCCACCTTTGTGTCCTCACCCCCTCCCTGGTCCCCTACAGCTCTAAACTTGATCTAGGGTGGGGGACAAGCAAGGACCTCTCCACCCTTAGGGTCACCTGTAGGCTACTCCCTAGCCCTCTGGGGACTGAGGACCTTATACCTGGCTGTCTTGCTGGGGCTAAGACTGGGAAGTGGAGAGGGAGAGTGGAATCTCCTTAAGTTTGGAGAAAGAATAGGGTGGAGGAGCAGGTTATGAGAACATGCCATGCAGTGAGTCAGGCATGTGTGTGTGTGTTTGTGAATGTGGCTGTATTGGTGATGGGGGGGGGGGGTCACATCTACGTGCCACTGCGGGGCAGCTGGAGTTCTCAGGAACTCCCTGACAAGCCAGGTCCCAAATCTGGGCAGGGCCTGGGGCCTCAGCCAACCCTATTCCCACATACCTGCTCTTACTTCTTTCCCTATTTTGCATTCCCTGGCTCTCCTGGTCTTTATCTAGCTGTTTCTCTGTGTCCCTTTCCTTTCTGTCTGTCTCCTCTCCTTGTCTGTCTCTCTCTCCACCATTCCTTCCTGTCATTTCTTTTTCTTATTGTTGCTGTTGCTCTCTGTTTTTTTGTCCTCCCTACATTGTGCCTTCCCATTCTTTTGTGTGTGCAAGACAGCCAGTCTGTGTTCTTCTTCCAACCCCTAAAATATGCACACACACACACACACACACACACACACGATTTCAGACCCCATCCTCCCATAGCCCCTCTCCTCCTTCCTTGTGCATCCTAGGTCCCTCCTGGGGCAGGGAGTAGTCAGGAGGTCACTGGGCTGGCTGACAGCCTTTTATGCCTCTCACCTGCTCTGCTAAAAAGGTGGAGGTGGGGGAGTTAGAATGGTTGTCTGGTATGAGAAGGGCCCAGTAGCTTTGGATGAGTCCCAGCAGTGGCTCTTGAGCAGGCTTTGGGAACACATGTTTGCATGACCACAGGGTTCCTCTGTGCTGGGTGGGGCAGTGGAGGTGACAGTCTTTGTGGAAGCAAATGTTTCAGGATGACCTCCCATTGTTGAGTACATGAGCGGGAGAAGACCCATGTGTCCAAGCAGAAAGCCCACCTGAGAATAAGTTTATGTGTTTGCATGTGTGTATGAACATGTATATGTGCACTTGTGTATTTGTGCACACAGGAGAGATGTGTGCATATGTGTTCATGTACATATGTGGGGGTGTGTGGGGAAGTCTATTTCTGTGCATTTGTGTTTGTGTGTGAGAAAATGTATGCATGTGTAAGGGTAAGTATTCATGCATGTACATGTGCATGTATGTGAGGAGATGCATATAGGAATACACATGTGCATATACATACATGCAATACCACCATGTGTTCATGTGTGACGATGTCGTGTATGCATGGTATGAATGTGTGCACATGTGCATATATGATTGTGAGGGAAGCATGTTGGTGGACCTGGGCTCCTGTGACTTCCCTCGCCTCTCCCCACAGCTACATCGAGAATCAGCAGCATCTGCAACGTCTGGAGCTCAATGACCTGAGGGGCCTGAGGGAGCTGAGAAATCTGTGAGAGGGATGGGGACTGTGTGGGTGTAAGTTAGAGGATCAGAGGGTCAAGGAGGGCTCCAGGGTTTTAGGGGCCTGCAAGACTAAAGACTGAGTGGCTGGGGACCATCAGAGAAGCTCAGGAATCGGAAGGGTCCAGAGTAGCTGAGGGAACTCTGAAGGTGTGGGAAGGTGCGCAGCTCTCGGCATTGGGAGCTGGGGCACTGGGGTGGGCAGAGAGGGCCAAGGAGCTGATTCTCTTCTTGCACCGCTTCCCAGCACCATTGTGAAGAGTGGTCTCCATTTCGTGTCACCAGATGCCTTCCATTTCACTCCTCGGCTCATTCACCTGTGAGTGGTCAGGCTGGGTGGAGGGGTGGGAGGACACCTAGACTTGGGCCATTAAGGGGCTTGGATCTCCCCAGGGAGCTGTTCTGAGGAAGGCCCCAATCTGGTCAGGGAAGGCGACTCACCCATTCTCTTGGGATTCTGCTTTCTCATCTACTCCAGGAATGTCAAGACTCCTAGCTCTTATCCCTGCAGTGAGAAGGTCCTTCTTGCTGTCTTAGTTCCATGTTTCATGCTATAGGGACACTTCTCATAGGTTCCTGCTTCATCTCCCTTCCCTGGGAGCCAGGGATGGGGCAGTACTCCTGGAACCTGGCTGGGGCTCCATCTCCCCTAACATCCTCTCTGGGGAGTGTCAGTTCTGCCACTTGCTGCCCTTCCCATTCCTGGGAGTCACTACCTCTTTTGTAGAGGCCCAGGTGATGGTGTAGGCAGAAGAGAGGCCTAAAGGAGACACCCTGGCAGCCCTCCCTGACCTTCTGAGGGCAGGAGCTCAATACCATGCCCACTATATGCAGGTAGAGAAATGGGAAGGGTGGTGGGGATCTGTCATTCACCAAGTTGTGCTGGGCACAGTATTCAACGACACTTGGCAATCCTTATGCCACTGAGTCTTCATTATCTAGTGAAAGACAGAGTGTTAGCTCCAAAATTGAATAAGAATCCTGAGAACCAGAGAGGCTAAGTCCTTGCACTGGGAACACACAGCTGTAAGTGACAAGACAGAACTCGTACCCAGTTGTCTGGCTTTGAAGTGGGGGTTCTTTCTTGACCCTGTGTGGTGGTATCTCTCCAACCCAACAACATCCCACCACCACCACCACACACACACCTTTGTCAAATTGATGATTGTTAGTCATGGAGAGGAGTCAGGGCAAGCTTCCAGAGACAGAAGTTCCCAGGAGTGGTAGACTGGCAAAGAGCACTGGGGCCAGTGGTAGCTCCTAAGCCAGCCTCCATTGTGGCTTGGAGCCAGTGCCTCAGTGGGACTCACTTTCTCCATCCCTACAACTAGTGGTCAGGCAGAGCTTCAACCTTGACTTTCCTTAGTTCCTGAGGAGGGCCAGGAAGGAGGAGGGGACGCTAAGGAAGTACTTTGAGATCCTTGTCATATGTCTGGTAGGGGGCAAGGGAGTGTGGGAGCCACAGTCCTCCCCCTTCTCCTTTGGCCCCTGTCCTATGCTCTGTGAAGAGGGGAGCACAGATGGAGTCCCCTCCCCCAGCTGTGGCCTCAGCACTTTGCCAGCTGGGGCCTGAGGGGTGGAGGAGGGGAGGGAGCGGTTGATCCTTCAGATCCCCTTCCCTTGGGTTTGAGGAGGGGGTTAAGTGGGGTTAACCCTTGTTTTCTCAAGGAAGGGAATGGCCTGCTTCTTCACCACCGCCCCCAGCCTCCCTGGGCTTGTTCCAGTTGCCAAGGTTGGGGAGGGGGAGCCAGATGTCAACTTCCTCCCCTCCTCCTCCCCTCCCTCACACTAGGTCAGAGCAAGGCTGGGTTGCTCACGCTCACGGAGAGGCCTCTGTCTCCACTCTTGCAGGAATCTCTCCTTTAATGTTCTGGAGTCTCTCTCCTGGAAAACTGTCCAGAGTCTCTCATTACAGGAACTGTGAGTATGGTGGCTTCCAGGGGCAAGAGTATCAAGTGCATGTGTGTGTGTGTGTGTGCCCCGTGCACTTGTCTCTGTGTGATCACATATCACTGTGTGTAGAACTGGGGTGGGCTGGGGGGTGGAGTGGGGCTGTTTCTTTGGGGACCGGGTGTTTGCCTGTGAACTGAGACTCTGCAAGCTTGTAACCATCCCTTCATTAAAGCAGAGGCTGTAGGACCACCTGTGGAAGGTGGCCTGGAAAACTGGTTCTGTGTGCATGGAAACTGGAGGCTGACATCATTCTCTGAGCCTGCATGTATACAGGGAACATCGCCCATGTTCCCATTGCACTGTGCTCATGGGATGGCTGGGCAGCAGTGATCCACATACACACTGTGGGCCCTTATGGTCTCTGGGTCACTCCTGGAGGCAAGGGTCCTTCCTCATCTCCACATTTAGAACTCTCACCAGACTTGTCACTCTGGGGGCATGGGAATTCCATGCAGCCCACAGCCACCTGTTTGCTACTTTCTACTTTCTATTCCTTTTTCTTCTGTGATAAAAATGTGTAACAAAGCATTTGTCAATTTAACAAAATTTACATGTATTATTCAGTGACATTGATTATGTTCGTCATGTTGTGCAAGCATTGTTGTTGTTGTTAAGTGCTGTCGAGTCGGTTCTGACCCATAGCGACCCAGAATAAGGTTTCCAAGGAGTGGCTCGTAAGCTTGAACCATAGATTTTGTGGTTCAAATCAACTTTGCAGTTTAGCACATTAACCCACAGTGCCACACCAGGACTCCTGCAAGCATTAACATTCTTTTTCTAAGTTATTGCACTACCATTAACAGAAACAATAACTCCTCCTATTCCCCTCCTTCCTAGTGTGGTACTGTAGGATAAACACTGAACTGTGAACCACATGGTCAGTGGTTCAAACCCACCAGCTGCTCCTTGAAAATAAGCTTTGGTCTCTATGTTGTTGCTAAGTGATGTTGAGTCAGTTCTGACTCATAGTGACCCTGTGTAGGGTTTCCGGTTCAAACTGACCTTGTGGTCCAGTGCATTATCCCATAGCGCCATACCAGGACTCCATGTATTTGCCTATTTCATGTAAATGCCATTATGCAATATTTGTCCTTTTGTGTTGACTTATTTCACTCAACATCTTGTTTTCAAGGTTCACCCATGTTGTAACATGGATCAGAATGTCCTTCCTTGCTTTTTTTTTTTTTTGTAAGTTTTTTATTGTGGATTGAGTGAAAGTTTACAGGCACATCATCAGTTTCACATTCAACCATTCATATGACTTGTTTCATTACATTGATTATAATCCCCTCCATACATCATCATTTAACAGTGTTTCTCTCTATCCTCTTTAGCTTTTTTTTTGGGCGGGGGGAACTTTGCCTTTTTGGAATTTACAGTCTCAGCTTTTAGGGAAGGTTTTTACATTTATCTGTGGATATCCAGGACTCATGTATGCGATTACTAACAAGCATAACTGAATAATCAGATGAGGGACAG